AGGTATGTAGGTAGGTGGGTGGGTTTGTATGGCTGGCGCAGGACAATAAGGCCAGGACTGTCAGTGATATCAGAAACAAGAAGCTCTAAGCAGTTACTGGGTCACACTCTATCATGTAACGTAAGTCTCCATTTTCAAATGGATTTAAGCAGACCATGAATAAGTTCAATTTTCATCAAGATTTCAAGAGATTTCAATCCCGGATTCTAGGTTTTTTCCAAGTCTGATGTACATAACGTGCAACAAGCTGCATCAGCACGTAGCGACTGCTTTCACGCGATTTCACTGATTAAATTATAAAGCACTGGCCAATCCTGGCTTCAATGACCTGACGACAGCCTCAAACCACTTTCTTACTGGACGAAAGAGCAACCACAGAGGAAGAGAGAGATATTTTATGAACAGCATTTCATTTGGCCCTTCCGGTTCCCCAAAACCACATCAGCGCAATCATCACTCTTTGTCTCAAAATAGCAGAAAATCAAACTCTTTCATCCACCAGGAGCAACACCCGGACTTTAAAGGCTGTTTTTAATTTTTTGTGAAGCACAAATTGGCTTGTACAACAAAAATTACCAGTGTTTTATTGGTGGATGGCCCTAACCTACCTCTCTGCTAATAAAGAGCTTTAAACATGATCTTTGCGCAGCTGAGGAAGTTCTGAGGAACCCAGCCCTGCCTGTGCAGTGATGCCTTTCCAAGGAATTTTACAACGGTGTCGGAGCAGTAGACGACGGTTGCGTGAATAGTGGGCAGTGTTCCAATTACCTGCAGCGATCAGCGCTGGCATTTTCAGCTGAAGTCTAGGAATTCATCGCTGTGTGTAGGTGTGTTTCTGACCTGCCATTACATGCACGATGCCCACCAGCTTATTTCTGTGGTGCAGCATTCATGCCAACACCTGGGGGAGAGTTTTGTTTCTGACACATGCACCAGCTTACCACTTAGAAAACTGTATAGTTGTATATTTATCCATTACACATGATGACTCTAAATAGTAAAATGGCACAGAAAACATATCGTCCAATACTCCACCAGATTTTCTGCTGATGCTGACACTGATGCTTCACTCTGGGGCTAGAAATTTCAACGCCATGCCAAATATTACGAATAAAAAATGGAAAGGAGAGAGAAAAATTTGTATCCGGACCTCATATCATGTGGATATTCGACCTGACAGAGTTGCAAAATTCAAAGATCATCAGAGCACATTTCAGGCCGTGAGCCAACACCCACACCAGTGTACCACACAGAGGACAGTGATGCTTTGAAGTTGTATTCTAGTGGATATTGATAAAAAGAACCTGCAAAAGACTCCAGTCTACAGTATCTACGAAGCGGAAGGAGAGGGCATTGAAGCCACACTGTAAATATAGAATAATAACCAGTTTGTGTTTGCCAAGGCTGCACAATATCCAGGAGAAAAAAAACCAATCAGAACTGCAATCATCAATTTGCCAGAGAAGGTGCAACGATGCTGTTCTTGGGTTAAAATCTGACTAGCAAACGTGAGAAACAGCAAGTGTAACTCAGGTAACCACAACTTCCTGCAGAGGCCCTTCATTTTATTTTTTTTTCTTGCCAGCACTGTGCAGCCTTAGCATTTGCTACTACATGTTAAGGCCGTTACATGTGAGGCCTTGTCTAATACCACTGTCTACAAAGTCAGGCTACTCTGAACATTGAATATTGAAACCAAGATTACATTTTTCTGTCTTAGCAACACATGAATGGTAACAACCATTCAGCGGAGGATCCTGTGGGTCGTAATGATACTTCACCACATCCTCACTTCAAGAACACAAGCTTTGTTGCGGTTGTTGTTGTTGTTGTTGTTTGTTGTTGTTGTTGTATGTGTTGTTATGGTCAGTTTCCATGCGGATTGTAATAACGGTAGCCAACGTAGAAGTCCAAAATCGTCCACCTGTTCTGTATTTTTGCTGTTGTAAAAATTTAGCAACTGCCTTAGGCAATACCTTGCACAGTTAAAAAAAAAAAAAACAAAGAAAAAAAAATAAAAACTCCAACTTTCCCAAGAGGGTTTTTACAGACTTTGTGTGGCAGACTAACAATGTGAATCTTCTACGATGGCTACACCTGAAGGACAAAGGAGACAGAGACACAGCGCTGTCACCTGTAATAATACTCTCCTGCTGTTAGGGGGCGCTTCACTCTGAGTAAGCTCATACTTCCTGATGCAGTCAGGACCACGTATACATAAAAAAAAAAAAAAAAACATAAAAAAAACAAACTAGTCATCTTGTACATTATAACCCTGTTATACCAGCTCTGGTGTGTGTGTGTCTGTGTGTGAGCTGTATGTTTTGTGTTCAGTTCAGCAGCATTTGGCTTTTTCTGAAAGGGGTTAAATATGTGTGAGTCAACCATCGCCCGTTTCTGTGGTGACAGGCTTCTACGTGAACCCCCCGTTAACGGAGATCTGGGAGAATCCAGGTTCGGTTTATTGGTGGTGGTGTCTTAGAATTAACGGCGCCAGCAAAGGGGTTCACACAACACCAAGGCACCGCGCCTGAGCTTACAGGGTTTCTAACCGAACCGCATCGAGCTGAGGCCGAACCAGGTCGAGAAGCTGGATTAAACAGAGCCGACCTGGACAGCGCTGGCAGAGTTGTCGGACATGCTTTAGCTAACATTCTTCATCTTGAAAACCAGAGACGGAGCACTTGTATGCGTGTTTGTTTGTAGATAAGATGTAAATATGCTGCTTTGATACACAGATCTGTTCTTTGGCGTGGTCGCTTCAGAAGACAGGTTAGAAGCTGTCCAAACAGAAAAAAAAAAACAGAGGAAGTAGATTGGACTTGCACCTCCATTTAAATGTCTGTTCATCAGACCTGGGTAAAGCAGCCCTTAAAAAAAAAAAAAATCACTTGTGATGCATTTCACCCCAATTTGGCCCCAGACGGGTCTTAGCTGCAAGAAAGGTGAGAGAATGAAAAGAAAGTCCCTTCTTGTAATTGACCACCGAGGCAATATTAACTGACCTGTCTGCCTAATCTGGTAACTCAAACAAGTTAAAATGAGCATTAATTATTGATTGAGACTATTAAACCCAGGGCTGATGGTCATATGGTCACACTGAGAGGAGCATGCTCAGTAGTAGTCATGTAGGAGTTTAAACAGTGAAGCTTGCCAAATAAGGAAGTTTCTAGACATACACACATCACTTTATATATATATATAGTATATGATATAAAATATGTATATATATATATTTATATATATATATACTGTATATATATGCATCTACGTCTTGCGTCGCTTTTTCGATAAATTTTTTAACCTTTTATTCTTCTTTTTTAAAAGTTTTTTTTTAACCCCTGAGAATACCATGGACTGCTTAAGTACAAAATACAACTCTCTGAGAGAACAACAAACAGTATTTTTTTAAAAACAAATTTACAAACAACTCAATTCAGGAACTTAAGAGCGCAGGCCTCTGAAGCTGATTATTACATTGTCATCATTCATCTAACAGGAGGAAAAGGCGCAGCAGAGCCATCAGTGACGAGAGCTTGTCCACGTCCAGCTTCACGTGGCAGCCATGACCGCTCAACGCTTAGCTGAATAAAATGGTGTTGGCCGTCTCACTACATCCAGATACAGAGATACACATGAATTATCTGTACTGACTCGTTTTTTCTTGATGTCTGTTGCCTGAAAGCTGCACTGTTAACCCTGGCAACCTCACACAATAACCAGAAATAACTGACCTCTGAAGACTTCAATACCCAGAAATCATCAAATGATGTGGATAAACTTCTGAAACACAGTGGATGTTCATGTTAACCAGCACAGTGAGTCAGTGATTGTTTTATATGCACGAGACAAAAGGCAAAGGTTTAGGGAAAAAATGGTTCAAGGAACCTTGAAGCTGTTTTTCCACTCTTAGGTCATGTGATGACACCTGAGCCAGCCAAGACTGTGAGATGTGGCTGAAATCTAGCTGGTAAGTGGACATTTCGGTTGAGATTATTTTGTTTTATGTTTTCTCCAGTTTTATTTCATCAGTCCACCAGTGCCAAATGAGGATAATCTGCAGGGAGCAGATGCAAATGGGAGACTTGTGACTGTTTCTGCCCAAATTTTATGCAATATTTTTACACGAGCGATTCATTAATGGAGCATTATGGATTAATACCATTGACCTGACAGCTAGCACAGGAAACAGGCTACTCAAAATACAAAAATTGACAATAAGTTTTATTGCCACCAATATACAAAAAAAAAAAAAAAATCAAAAACTTGGTTTGAATGATCATTGGCTAGCATGCTACTATTTTATCTTCCCTTCTCCACATGTATCTGTTGTTGCGGTCAGCAACATGGCGCCCACAGTGCAACCTGGACAAACTCTGTTTATTGATGGCTCTGGACTGCAGTGATCTAGTTATGGGGGCATAGAACAGTAGGCAGCTCTTTGCACCGATAGTACGGCATGGCTCTGCTTTGCTAACTGTTGCAGATGCTTTGTTGATTAATGGCAAACGCTGCATTTACATCCTTGTTTCAGGCACTAGACAATTGTTAAGGTGACAAGGAGCCCAAAGCTGGCTACACTTGGTAGCCAATCCGACTGGATTACCTTTTGGTTTGATTGTTACAAATCCGATTGAAAAACGACTCATTGATCTACTTGCTGATTGTTTGGTTGATTGAGTAGGTGGGGAGGTGTGCGGGGGTTTGAGGGGAGGCAGGGGCATAGGGCGAGCGACAGAAGGCACAGAGTTTCTACAATGATTTTTTCCAAAGATTCAGGCTAAAAAAAAAACAGAAAAAAAACCCCACAGAATTAGGAAGAATTTGAAAGCAGCTGACAAAAGTCAGACCAAATATTTCAAACAACGGCTGTGATGTGAGCAAAGGGATTTGCTTGTGTGTCAGTATGTCTGTGTTTGTGTCTCTGTGTGACAATCTGAATGAGCACTAGGGTTGGGGTCAATCCGTTTACTATTCAAAAACTGGGAAAGCTGGAGATGTTTTTTTTTTTTTTTTTTTTAAGTCTGCGACGATAAATTTGAGAATTAAGCTTTTAGTGTACATTTTGAAACTGATTCAACATCATGAGGATTGACCCCAACCCTGAATGAGCATCTATTATTCACACGAGTGCTTACAGCTTACAGCTCTTATGACTAGCTAGTTGTGCTTTTCAAAGCTGAATACATGTCGTCCCATGTCTTCCGCAGACGTATTTTGAACAACTCTGGAGTGACATTGTCTTTCCATTGAATATATTCAAGAAAACAAGAACTCGTTGGGTGTATCTCAGGCCATAAAAGACCAAAAGTGAAGCAGACCCTGAAACCAGCTTGAATAGTAATAATAATAATAATGCCCCAAAGTGTTTGTTCCCAGGTCTGGCAGATACCACAGACGTGAGGCCAGAACAGGGTACTTCAACGCCCAGAAACAGAATGAATCTGAAACACAAAACGAAAAAGACTAAAAGGTAATGTTTGTTTCCTATTTGTTGAATGTATCGCGTCTTGTGGTTGTCTAAACAACAAACTACGGTCGGGTGGAGAAGATTTACTGTACGACAGGCAAACAGCTACATTCAAATTCCCCCCAAAAACAAAACAGGTCAGAGCTGAAGAGATTTTCCATTGGTAAATGTGACAGGGATTTGGTTGAACAAAGCCATCCAGCCATGTTGTGTAGACTGTATACTGGGCACAGATGGAGAAACAATTAGCCAGCGGGACTCTGCTTGGATAATTGTGTGTTTTGTGTGTGTCGATTTGAGTCTCAGTTCTTTAGGACGCCAGCACGCTCCTTCTCAACAGGTCCTCGTTCCCAGAATGCAACTGTGGCAAGCGGAGTTTGCGTCCGCCAGAGCGTGTGTCCGAATCACTCTGCTCGCCGTCAGAGAAGTACCCGTCAGTCTCGGCAGCGTCCAGCAGGGACGTGTCCTTCCTTGTGAGCGGCAGGTCCATGGACTCCAGCCCCGCTATGCCGCCACCTCCGCTCACGCCCCTCCCTCTTGATTTACCCTGGCGGGGCAGACGGAGTCGTGGAGCCCCGCCACGGAGGATCGCCCCCGTGTCTGGAACTGTGACCACAGGGCTGGAGGCCGGAGGTGAAGATAAGCTTCCGGTGAAAACAGATCCAGCCCCTGATGCAACGCCATTCTCCGTGTGGATGCTCTCCCAGGGGCCTTGGTCCTCTGAGATGTGACAGGAATCCATTTTGGAGATGGGTGGCTGCGGTGGTGGGTCACCCTGCAGGTCAGAGCTCCTGGTCTGGTGGTGATGAAGGTGGTGGTGGTGCAGGGCCTTGGAGGACCCCCTGGACCTTTCCCCTTTCCGGCCCACATGGCTTGGCTTGTCCTCCACCACACTCACCCAGAGGCTCTTTGCAGTGGAGGGGCTGCTAGCGGCGGAGGCAGCCGCTGCAGAGAGGAGCGTCTGGGGCTGGGTGGGGGTGGTGGAATGACCACGAGCACGGGGCTTGCTGCTCCCTCGTGGTTTGCGACCCAGCTGGGGCGTTTTCCAAGTGGACTGCATGGAGTTCTCCATCATGAGATTTAGCAGGCTCTCCTCGCCCTGCAGGAGCTGCACGAGAGGGGGAGAAAAGAGGAGGTGAGGTATGGAAAGACAGGAATCGGAGATGAAAGAAATGCGATGAGAGGATAAGAATTAAAAGGAGAGCAAATGAGAGAACAGCTGAATCAGTTCATCTTCCGAGGAAACAACAACACAGGTTTTACAAAAAATATTCATGACATACTGTATTTGGAAAGTTGCTCGTAGATCAAAACTATTTATTTGTCTGTGGCTCGGGTTTCTGGTTTGGAAGGCTCACATTCTTGCCCGTAATATTTTGGAACAAAAACTCCCCACCCACCCACATTTCCGAACAGCTCATCAGTGGAGGATGTGAGCAGCTAATGTCACATTATTTTGAGCAAAGAAGCGAGTGACAAAGCTGACGTATTCTGACAGCACCTTACACTGTGATTGTCTATTTCTTCATGGGAGGTTTCTGTTGAATCTTTTGTTCTTTTGTGTTGTAAAAAAAAAAAGGGGCTTTTATCATTTGTGTCAACTACACGCCACTGTAACTTGGAACCTGTGGAGTTGTTTGATAAAAGTCACTGATCATTTAAGGCCCTTTTATTTTTTGCAGAACTTTCTCTTAAGGATATCAGGTTTTCAACGTCTCATTCTGCTTTATTGAAAAATGGCTGTATTCCTGTTCCTTTTATTGTTTGTTTTTTTTTTTTTTTTTTTGTTCCAAAACACATTCCCAAACAATGGCGTTATATCATGTATTCTGGTTGGAGCCCCCTGCCAATCAATACACAAACAGAGCACATTCCTGAGGAGAACAGCAGGTCAGCCACAGTGCAGCTCTGCTCCGACCGTCAGCTCTCTCATCCAACTGATCAACGCACCACGGTAATTGTGTAAAGCAACGTCAAAAACTGCACTCATATAAAGATTCAACGTAAAGGTCCTGATCCAGCGTTGAAATAATTCTACATAAAAGGTGCTTGAATGTGACTCCAGGTGTGGAGGCATAATTTTTTTCTGAGGGTCTGTGACATCTGTCAAAAGAGAGGAAGTGCTCTTCCTCCACCAAAGTCATAATCCACTGTACTTGATTATGTTTCGCAACAAATAACAGTTTTCTCTTGAAAACTGTTCATAGTCACTGTGGAAGCTTACAGCAGGTTTTGAGCTCGCATTGCAAATGGCTGCTAATTATTTTTTATTTGTTTTTATTAATTGTTTTCTATATAAAATTGCATTAAATAGTGACCAATGCGACCTCTTCAAATGTCTCGTTTTGTCTGACCATCAGTCAAAAACCCAAAGATATTAAGTTTCCTCTTTACTGTGCTTGACAGACAAAAGCATCAAATCCTCATATTATAATACTGATGTTTGACTTTAGCATTACAAACTGAATACCTAACACTTCAATACTATACTCTACTGCGCTGGCTGCTGGATCAATGAGCCTTGCCTGGAAAGCAAGAGTCTTCATTTACATCCATTTTTTCATCCTTCCCAAGTACTGACTCAGTACGGCTACTGAACCTTTGCGCATGCCACAATTACTGTTTAGTTTTTTGCTGTTTTTTTAAGTTCATGAAATAAAAAGTAACACTGCATTAACAGTTGAAGAAAGGCTCATTTTTTACTGTCTGCAGTTGCTCTACTTACTTTCTGAAAAGATGCCTCGCCTACACATTTCTCTGCTTTTGCAGACGTTAGATTCATATAGTTTTAGGCCCTTTTGCCCCAGATCAAGTTCCTTTCTTACTAATAACTTACTTTTTGACCAAGAACTTTATGTGACTTTGGATGTCTGTGTCAATCAGGTCTGTAGGCAGGATAGTTCCTTATTTGGCTCCTGGCACTAGTTTTGTCCACCAGTGCAGTGGACTGGGATTCAGTTCAAGAGGTGATGGACTGTTTGATGCTGCTGCTGATTTCAGCTGTTTGAATTTTGCCATGTGTGCCAACATTCACTGCCAAGACCCAGATTGTAGCGCTGTCTAATATAACCCGTCTTTAACGGGTCTGATGAATGTACTGGAGGTCTGCTTCAAGATCGCTTTTTATTTACAAAGTATTGAATAAGTTAAAAACCACTACTGAATTCACTCCATTGCTGCTCTATCAAGGAAGCATCTACTTTATGTATCAGGGTCATAAAATTACAGTCAACTCAGATACAGCCGAGGCATCATCCTTCAGCCCTCCTGCTGATGAAGCCCTACCTGGTCGGAAAGCAGGCTGCCGCTCTTGTCCCCATGCTGGGCACCCAGAGCCCACTGGCTCATCATGTCATCAGCGGTGATCTGAACCGACTGGGCAAGCCAGCTGTCGAACAAAGAGTTGTCCAATGGGAAGGACTTTGACAAACCTGAAGGAAGGGCAGGGGACATAAGCAGGGAGGGAGGAGGATGCAGGGGAGAGGAGATGGATGATATCAAGACAGAGACAGAGGGAGAGAGTGAGAGTGAGCCGTGAAGGCAAAGGGGGGGGAGGGGGGGGGGGGGGGGGGGGGGGGGGGGGGGGGGGAGAAAGAGAGATGGGATAGAATTGGTAGGGATGAAGGGAAGAAAGAGGGGGAGAAGGGGGAGAAAGACAAAGCAGACAGGTGAGGGGAGCTGCACATTTTTCATGAATAAAAAAACACAGAAAAAAGTTGCTCTAAAAGTGTCAGTGGAGTTGAGGGGAGCTGTCTTTCAAATCAAGAAGTAAAAGGCATAAATAGAACAAGAGCACCGAGGCTTTTCAGAGCCACAACACAAGACTATTATGCCAAACCTTAAATCCCACAGTTCTGTTAAATACAGAATTGGCTTCACTACACTCAGTCACTCCACTCCATTCAAAAGAGGCACTTCAATTCATTATAGTAATAACTGAGAGAATTCTTTTTCTTTAAAAACTGGCTAGAGAAGCCATTCGATGTGGATGACTTTTCCCAGGTTTAACAGACAAAGCACAAATCTAAAACTATATATGGCGTCTTGATGTTGCATCTCAAAACTGGTGTTCATCATTCATGGCTCTCCTGCATGTTATTCATTGTATTTTTGCCTCACCATTACTTTAAATGGAAAACAAAGGGCCCAATGTAGGTCTGTCAAAAAGAGACACAACAACTTGACACAGTAACATTTACAGTATGTATCAATGAGCTCCAAACAATAATGAAGATATAAACCCATTTTACAGCAGAAATCCTGTTTCCTGTCTGCTTCCCAACACTGCGTGCTCCACATTCTGGTCTTTGTACCGCACTGTCACAGTCCAGGAGTGTGAGCAGTGAGAGTTTGTGTTCAGTACGTGTGTGTATGTGGGAGGCTGCAGACAAAGCTCTCTGCTTTTAAGTGTGTGTGCTTGTGTATATGTGTGTGTGTGTGTGTGTGTGTTTGTGTATAATTAGGAGATTTTCATGGCTCCTTTTCTATCATTGTGTGCTGTGAAACTGCTGCCAAAGCACTGTGAGTATGTCTGTGACATTTTATTCTTTTTTTACTCGACACACACACACACACACAACTCATACATACACACAATGCAGTAAAGAGTGAGGCTTAAGGAGAACAGAGAATGGGGGAGTGGGGTGGGGGGTTGGATCCATAAGCTTGTACACTTCTTCTCTCCTGTTCCCACAGAAGAGGGTGCTCACATTTTGGCTTGCCCATCTTCCACTTCGCACATCTTTACATCCTCTAACACGTGGAGGTAGAGGAGCTAAGGTTAGAGGTGGTTTGACCTTGAATCATTGTCCAGTATTCAATCCACTTATTTCAATCTGAATTTTTCTGAAACATTATCAGATTCATTAAGGATTAGCTTTTGAGAATTAAGATTTAAAAACTAATTTAAGTTATGCCAAATAGATAACATGTTTTACATATTTAGATTTAGATTACTACCTAAATGTTTCGCACATTGCTAACTGCTGATAAAAAGAGGCGATTAAATGGATAAGTTGCAAATTTGGACCTGGATCTGAAAAAACCCAACCTGAATGATGTGTTCAGACAGAAGAGGAAGGAAATTATTGCCTTCACATCCATCCACTGACTGCGTATGCTATTGCACCACCTTGCATTCTTTCTTAACACAGAGGAGAGCTAACAATGTTTTGTTCTTTTATAGATGACAAAACTGTCAGACCCCAGATAGATGTATCTAAGACATAAATCAGGTTTTGAGCAGAATCTGTGCGTGTAGTTACTTGCAAAAAGGATGTTCAGACAAAGTGGGATCTCCACACACGATCGATCCAACAATTTTGGACTCTAAAAACAGCTTTACTCTTATTATTTTTATGAATAATAAATCACCCATAACACCAAATCCACCACAACACAACAAGAATTTCACTATATCGAGTGTGTAGACAAAGAACAATTGAATAGATTTCCTCTGGTAAAAAAAAAAAAAAAAATCAAAAAAAATCTGTGTTTGTGTTCAAGGCAAGCAACCTTAAATTATTTCAGATCAATCAAAACAGAGCAAGGGAAAATGCTCACCTCCAGAGCGTGTGTCATCTAGTGAATGGGGATAAATAATGAATTTTAGTGTTCTTATTTAGCCAGGAACAATGTCTGCACGAGAGCACTGGGAGTCTGTCATGTCATGTCCTCTTTGGGAAACAACAACCCACAGTGCCAAGTAAACATCACCAGAAATGGCAATAATGTTGACAAAAAAACTTGCACACAAGCGCATTAAGAAATATATCAGTAAGTGCATGAAGAATTTGTGGTGTACGCCTCGTTCTCTCGTTTCTTTTCTGTACCGTCTTTCCAGCCTCCATGTAAATCTTCACTGCCTATAATGATCTGCCAAGCAGGACAGCAGGAGGTGCTGCTAGGGTGGCTGTAACACCAGCTATACACACACACACACACACACACACACACACACACACACGTCGGTCGTTTCCATGACGCAGCATGTCTCTGCAGGAGTCAGGAGAGCTCTGAGGGAGGGAATAGGTGACGGAGGGGAAAAAAAGAGGCAGTGGAGAAGTGTGAAGACGACAGGAGGTGGTGACAGAGGAGAGGAGAGTGTAAGTGGAGTTCAGAGAGAGGAAGGTAGGAGGGAAACCTATAACATGTCACTGTGCAGTCTGTTGCCATGTTCAAAATCTGTCACATGCTATACCTCCCATTGGTTAATAGTTGTGGCTATACTTTACATCTGGAAAAAATATGGGAAAAACACCTTTTTTTTTCTCCCTTATTAAAAACCATCCTGGTGTCACTCTGTTGTTGCTGCTTCCTGACTTTACTGTGGAGGGGTGCATTGCTGCATAATGAGTGGGTTTTTTATTAATTTATAGTGTGGCTCACATCCACTTTTTTTTTTTTTTTGTCCCACATCTAACGTGGTAAAACTGCATAAAAATGTCACTTTCCCACAAAATCTGTTTGGCTAAGAAAAACTTTTTGATCGATTTACATGGCTTACAGTACAGCATATTGAGGAGTTTTATTTTCCTACACCTCCCACTCCTCTCAGTGGCTTCAAGATATGATTTCTTTCATTGAATTGGACATTTGCACTCTAGATGGTAACCTTATCTTATTGGAACAACTTACTTTTTTTTTTCTTTAGCATAACACTTTTTTTTGCAGTGGTTATTATATCTCTGTAGTCTTTCTGTGGTTTTTCTCTGGACAGTTGTTCTTGGATATACTTTAAAGAGATCTGAGGAAGACTGATGTTATTAATCTTTTTTTGTGGTTTTGTCCCTTTTTTCTTTTTCATGCTTGTTTATTCATATGTGGGACACTGATGTTAAGATCAAGAATAGGATACTAAAAGGTTGGGTTACATATGGCTATATGTCCATTATATGTTTAGTCTGACAGTGTTCTGGGTGGAAATTAGATTACTTTAGAGGGAAAAATGAGAGAGGGAAACATTTTTTGCAGAATTCCTCTTAATGAATTTAAAATTTCTTTCAATAAAATATACTGCTGAAAAATAAGTTGATGTCTTTTCTGCTCACTGGGAGGAGCCAACATCCCCAACCAATATCTATTCAACGGAAGCCCACTGATGGTGGAGCTGTATCTTTTAAACCGGATGACGACACTGACTCCTCCTCCTTGTTTGGCTACGGGTAAACTAATGGGATGCTACACCTGTTAGCCGGAGCAGTGCTACTGCAGGCTAACGCTATGTTTCTAAAGGTCCTGGTACATTTAAAGCCAGCTAAGCCCTTTTCAAGGCAGTATTAACGCCACAGCAACAGTTTGGAGAACAGCCGGCCTTAGTGCCAGGGTCTCACAGCTACAAAAAGCCCCAGGGTGGCATCACAGAACAGCTGATGTTGTAGCAGCGAGCAATGATTCGCTATCCAGCTAGCCAAGGAATGCACTAGCAGCAGGACAGGGCCAAGACCAGGCCTGTGCATGAGAGTGTATGTGTGTGAGCGTGTGTAAGTGTGTGTGTGCGTGCGTGCGTGCATGTGTGTGTGTTGCCAGGTCTAAAGCCCTCACTACAGTCTGATGATTGTTCTCGGGCGCAAACCGTCTCCTTGGAAACTCCATGAGAAAGACGGAGATAGAAACACAGAAACTGAAACAGAGTAAAGGTGCAGGAGCACTAATGATCTAAAGACTCATCAGAGCGATGAAGGTGAGACAAGAAGTGCGAAAGGCAGAAAAAGAGCAAAGTAAATACCTGAATAAGTAATTGTAAAAAAAAAAAAAAAAAAAACTGGAATAATAATCACAGAATAGGAAGAAGAAAGCTCAGCATGAATCAACAGAAATGAACGTGACAGAATTGTTCTCTACAACAAAAGGGACATTTTATGCTTGTCTATCAGTCTCTTACCATATTGTTTCAAAATGAACTCACCCTATTCCAATGTGTAATTTGGCTTCATTATCTTTTTCACCAAATTAAGTGTTTAATTTTCTGCTATTTCAACTTAATGCTTCAGAGCTTCAAAAAGCTCTTTAAGGGAAAAAGCAATCCTAAGACACCTGTTAAGTTACACAGTTATTACAATGCAGTCTTGAATTCTTTCATTCAGACTGAAAGAGCACAGGCGTCTTTTTAGAGATGCTATCCTGCACTGACAATCGGCAATAATAGATAATAGAACATCATAACGCAGGACCTATTTCCTCAGTAAAAGCCCAGAGTGCACTGCAGCCAAGACTGCAAGATGCATCTAACATGTTACCAGTGGCAAGAACTCAGGGCTCTTCTGCTTTTACTGACACCATCAAACACAAAAGTTAAAGATAAGGACTTGCATTAAACAGACTCACGGTATTATAAACCTCCGGGCAGTGTTTTGGTGTCTGATAAACCTTCAGACTCGAAGATCTGATACTCAGACCTCCCTTCCCGCATCGTATTTCATTGTCTAACCGG